ATTATTTAATCAATTACACTTAATCTGGGGTCTGAGACACAAAGACTGAAATTTATTAATAATCCACTGACTCCTGGACTTTGAAAAAAATTCAAAATGTTGTTTTACACTGAGAAAACAATAACTTCTTCCAAATAAATTGATTAACTCCCAAAAAATCCACAAATCCCAAGACAATCTGCGAAATTAAATCGATTTATCAGAAGTAATTGAATTTTCTCGATGAACCTCACATTTCCCCACATAAAAAATAGAACGACTTCTTGATATTAAAAAAATTCAAAACATCTTTTTTGCAGTGAGAAAAACAATAACTTTTGCCAAATAAATGCATTACACTCCCAGAAAATCGACACATTCCAAAGACAATCGCGAGAACTAAATATATTTATCAAAAATAATTGTTTATTATCCGACACTTCGTAAATTCTGATCCTTTGGTAATGCCCTGGATCTCAGGGAAATCCTCATTAAATAATTGATAAGGCACCGTCACAAGATCGATGGATTGATCGCACTTACCATCCAGGTATGTCCGTAAATTACGAAGAAAACTGGTTTTTCCCCCGTCAAATCATTACTCAACACTCGAAAAACAGTTCCAAATTTCCACACATCGTCATCGCACTAAAAATAAGTAGAGGCGATTGAAAAATTGAGGGATCAATCAATTAACAAATTACTCGATCTACCAGAGGATTTAACCCGAATTTAATGACAACCGAGTAATGAATGTCGTCTGAGCCACTGGTATGCCAGTTCAGGCGTGGGTTCCCTTTATAAGATATCCGTTGGAAATATGGAGGGGATCATACGAACACTGGTTCATGTACGTGAACATGAACGTGAGCAAGACTCACCTAAATTTGCGCTCATATAAATCTCTTAATCCGAATTTTTTTTATCGATTAATCAATTTTCTTACGCGTATCCCAGAAATTTTTGAAATTATCTTGATTTTTTATTTCGCGAATTCCAATTCAATGTTAATTTTAATTTCAATTGAATTTCATTTATTTATCTTCAATGATTATTGCATTCACATTGAAATTCTGAAAAAAGGAATTTGTTTCGTAATCGCCATTAATTTTATAATGATTCCCAGAATTTCCAGAGGACTGGCGAAATTATTATTTTTTCAATCCTTGAATGGCGCGTGAACCTGAAGTCGATAAATATTTAAATATTCAGCGAACTGGGAATTTCAGGTCTTCTAGTCGTAGTAGGAATTTTGGATTTTTCCACTCGAAAATTAACGCATAATTTTTTTTATTGCGCAGGGGAATAGGTTTTTTT